TTGATTCTTGGAGTACTCAGGGTTTAAAAAGCAGCAGCAAATTGTTTAGAGGTCTAAAATATGTAGCATGAGGAGATGTTGAGATAAGTGGAAAGAAAAGATGAGAGGGCATTTGAGACAATTTCCAACTACAGATCAGGTTGCTTATACAGCTGATGTGATTTGATCTCTGTCACTAGGACCTGAAGGAATCTTCTGGGCCAGTGAGTCTAGTCTGAGAGGGGATGTTACTTCTTGTCACGGGTTTAAATTGTAATGCAGGAGACTTGGGTTAGCTATTAGGAAAAACTTTCCAACTAGGAGGGTGGTTTATCATGGAGACAGATTATTTAGACTGTTGAATCTCTATCGCTGGACATTTTTAAGTGCATGTTAGACAATCGCTTATTTAGGTTGGGATGAAGAACTGTTCTCTCTCCAGCATCTACCTTAGTTTTACCTTACTAAAGTTTTTCACTCTTGAATTCTCACTGCTGGCTGTAGGAGCAGTGGGAGCGTCTGTGTAGACAAAAATGCTGGCAGCCACGAGTATTATACCAATGTACCTTGCAGTGGTTAAGATTCTAGCATTCCTGTCTGCTGTAGGTGGCCGGTCATATTCCCTTTTTCAGAGGGAGGAGCAGTAGGAGTGTACCAAGAACTATTGGTTCCTTCCACTGGCCCATAATGTAAACTGAAGCCCAAGTAACAAGCTCTAGTAACTCCTCTCAGGACAGGTATGTAGTTGTGGCACACTCCTAGGCTATGGTCAGACCCAAGGCAGTTGCTCTCTCTTTGGAGCGTTTCATGACTCTTTGGAGAGTTTCAATTCTCTTTAAAAACTTGAATACATGTGTTTCTATTAAAAAAAACAAAAAAGGCCCATAACCACGGCAGGTGGACATAGAAAGTCCCCCGCACAGCCCTGCTACTATACTCCTCCTCAGCCAGATCTGTTGCCTGTCCTGTATCCCTCACAGTTCTTCCAACACAGGCTGACCTCCTGTGCTACTGCTGTTCTAATCTTGTAGTTCTCAAGGGAGTTAAGTACATGCATACAACATCCTCTGCTATTCCAGCTCCCCAGATGACTGCCAGTGATACCAAGTTGTTGTATTGTGTGTCTGTATGAACTGCACTTTACCAGAATCAAGTCCAGCCTATATTATTTGTGACGTCGTCCAAGTCACTAACATGCACATGCACACGCACGCACACACGCACGCATGCAATCAATCTCTCTCACCTTCTTCTTTTCTCCTTTCTCCCTGCCCCCTTCCACATGCTAAATCACCAGCTGTATTACTGACACCCAGGTAAAGTTAAGCAGGCATTATCCTAGATTTTAAAACACTTACAGAGTGGAAAAAATATAACATGTGTGAATGACCATTTAAAAATGGTCCCAGGATTCCTGTTAAAAATCAATCTCCAGCATCACTCAAAGTCAGTAGAGCCAGAGTGTCTCTAGAGAGCAGCTGTGCTCAGAGGGTTTGCAGCAGTGAGTTTGAAAGAATACCGTATTGCTTTACAGCCCTTGGACCCCACCTACCCCCTGCCATGTCATGCAGAGGAGGAGAACGTGAGGGGTTATCATGGAAATATTTCTACCAGTGGGGTCATGGAATGTGGCCTAGATTGATTGATTAGGGGCTGGCAGAGATGCTGCAACTTGAGCCATTTAAAACTGTATTAGGAAGCACTGCAGAAAGTATGATATGAAGTCTCTTGCCCTGGTAAGTTCTATCTACTCAGAAGTTAACAATGGGAAAGGATTCTTATGACCTCTTCCCCTGGATCCAGGTGATCATGCTGCAGGAGTCGGGTTCACTGCTGGTGGTTTGCTAGCTTAAAGTCCTATAAGGGAACTGGGGAGAGTTGCCAAACACAGAGTGAGAGTTGTGCTGGAGGAATTTACTGTGTTTTATTCATAGTGTCATTAATTGGCAGCCAACATTGCAGGTGTTCTGCTATAGTACCTGGATTTTCCACGCAAGGCAGGACTTGCCTTACAGCTTTTGTTTTTTTATTTGGTTGCATCTTGTAAGCAAAAGGTTTGTTGTTCTGTTGGTCAGAAACCACCCTCCTCCCTCCAGATCAGGAGAGGGGGTGGTTTATAACTCACAAAGCTGCTGTCTCCATCTTTGCTTTCAGGTTCTTTCGCTTTAATGCTGTTCATCCGTGGGATCTCAGTATTTTTTTCATGTAGGTGAATGTTGTTACCTCTGCTTTACTAGTGGGAGAACTAAGGCACAGGGCAGTGAAGTGTCTTGTCCATTGTCACAGAGCAAATCAGTGACAGAACTGAGAGCAGAACTTGGGTCATTTTGTGTTTGGCCCATTGGGCTCTGGAGCTTCCCACACAACAAACACTCTGTCTTGTAATTGGGGAACCTCTAGGTTCTGTTGCCTACAATGATCTTTCCATTGCATCTTTGAGCCAGCACCCATTGGAGAGTACTTTTGTTTTACCACGCTACGCGTTTCTCTCTGCTGCGTATTTCATCTATGCGTGTGTGTATGCTGAATTCCCAAGATAGGGCAAAAGGGACTTTCCTGCCAGTGTAGTGCTGGGAGTATTGTGCACCAGGCAGGAACTGCTTTTCCTCCGTGGCAGATTGTCTCATCAGTTTACTATCATATCTTTCTGGGTGTGGACATGTGAACTGTTGTCTCTGGAGCATTGTCCAGTTTACTGTGGAGGAAGGGTGGAGCCGATCCACAATTCACAGCATTTGTTCTCAGGGAACAATTCTCTTCTCTGGTGTTACATTACTTCCAAAGTAGTTGGATGTAAATTTACACCAGAAAAAGTTCTCTGACATACATGGCCTCCCTTGTAGCATTGACATTTTCATTCTGTGGTGGCTGTTTGCTCAATTCAAACTAGCTCACCTGCCACCCACCTAGTGGCCATGCCCTGTAATAGCACCTACTTTTGGGCAGACTACTTGGGATAGCTGGTTAAGTGTCTGGTCCTTAATCCAGGGTAAATGTACTCTAGAGCGAAATCTGGATAAATGACTCCAGAATAAATAGGTTGTATGTCTATACTTTGATATAAATAAACAAGGAATTATTTCAAATAAATTTCACATGCACTTTTTTATGGAGAGAGAGGCAAGAAACTATTCTTTTCAGCAGTTTCAATTACCCCTGTTCCAGTAATGCCCTCACTTGAATCAGCTGGGAATCCTTATGGAGCTGTATCCCATCAGCTTGCATGAGTCTACACACTTCTTTCTCACCCTCTCTTCTCTCTCATTTCCTATCCACACACATCATGGAAATCCAGTTCACAGGCTAAGAACAGTGTGGAAATAGGGTTGCGGATGATTTGGGCACAAGGTCACTGGTTCAAGTCCATTCCCCAGTGGCATAAAGGAGGGGCTTCTTGCTGCTTGTGGTTTGGCACATCTCGTGCTGGCAATTTATCTACTGGCATTTGGGTATCTGGTGTGAAAAGAGTTCTCTGCGTAGTTTCCAGTGGCAGCAGCCCACACTTTTTACTCCCTTAGGCAATGTCAGCCAAGGTTAGTTGATACTTGTAAACCAAACTACCCCACTACCCCAACTGGGTGCTGCTGACCTGAGGCTGAGGTATGTTGGTATAAGGAAGCTTGTTTGCTGCTTGGCAGCACTGTGCCTGTTTTGTGGAGCTAGGGGTTCAATCAACAGGGCTGTTAATCTGGCACCTTTTAATGGTGCCAGATTTATTTAAAATATTTGGGAGGTGCCATCTGAATAACAGTTGTGATTTATTGCTCTCCGCTGTCCTCTGCTTTTCAACTTCAGGCTTGTCAAGGAAAGTTTCAGACAAAGCAGGGTGGCAGTTTTCATGTTGACTGGAGTGAGATCCAGCAAACTCATCTCTGACTTTCCAGCTGGATTCAGAACCATGTTCTGCTGTTTCTAGTGTCTACTGGCTGCAACTCATGTTGTCTCTATTCCATCTCCAGTTGACTGCAATGTCTTATTGAGGGGTTCCTTCTCCACTTATGAGCCAATGCAAGGTGAAATCTCTGGGTGAATGGGAGTTCTGGAGAGTGCACGTGGCAACTGAGTCTCTGCTGGGTGACATTTACCTCCTCAAATGTTCCTTTGTAGAGATGAAGCTTCAGGCTTTTGTTACCTGAATGATGTTGTCCTGGGTATCCTGAAACTCCGACAGAAGTTTGACCGCATCCTCTACATTGACTTAGATTTGCATCACGGGGACGGTAAGACCACAGCATGGGTAGAAAAGCCATCCATACAGTGCAGCCCTTTAAGCTCTGTGGAAGCTGGGAGAGGCAAGGGGCTGTTATTGCAATAGAGATGACATGCAGCAAGAGCAATGGCATTTTCTTCAGTTTTCTTACATCTATGTGACCTGAATTACAGGCTGCCCCTTGAAGCTCGTCTTGTCCCCAGACCTTGCTCTGCATTATTAAAATGCATCCTCTGTTCTGAGCAACATTCTGATATTTAAAGCAAGACTTTCTGTATTAACAGCATGTTCTAAATCTAGTCATCTGCTTTGTCAGGGGCTGTCTAGTAAGTGGATTTCCTCATGGTCCTTAGCCTTTGTCTCTGGGTCCAGAACAACCAGTGACAGTGCTTTTAATTGTTTAATGCCATCAAGACAGGCTTTAGCATTGAAGCAGCCAGTGTTAAATGATGTCTTTTTTAAAAAAAGTATTTTGATGCTATAAAACTGAAGTCAGAGTGGACCTCGACTGCAGCCTCTCTCTGCGTAGGGGATGTTATTTCAACACCGTTTAACATTTCCTGCCCTTCAAACTTTTATGGTGTGTTTCATTTTGGTCTGTTTTCTCCCTACATTTGGTTTGTGTTAAGTCTCCTGTAACTTCACCCCCTACCCTTTTTTATATCAGAGTAAAAAAATCTTGCTTGGTTTTTAGGGCTTTGGAAAGTGAGGGACCAGGAACGGTTTCTAATTGGGACCAGGCCTTTGCCAGGGCACTATGAATCAGAGCTTCCAGTCTGCCCCCTGCCCTTTCAGTCTGAGCAGTCAGTACCAATGCTGCTGGCCTTTGTAATGGCTTGTGATGTGGAAATACATTCACTAATGAGTATGTTGAGACCAGCACAACTCATGGCAGTTGTGACCCATGTTACATTTGTTAAGGATTAATTTAATGTGCTGTTATCTGCCTTATATTATTGGCTTCTTCCCTGCTCCCCTCGCTGCTGCCTGCTTGTTGATACATATTTTAGTGTGTTCTCTGTAATGCTGCCTTATATAAGTGATGCCTCTGTTTTTCTGTCTCTTTTTCCTTTGACAGGTGTTGAAGATGCCTTTAGTTTCACTTCCAAAGTCATGACTGTCTCTCTTCATAAATTTTCTCCAGGATTTTTCCCAGGCAAGTGATCTTATGGTTTCATTAATTAGAGTCATAGATTACCACTGGGACCACAGCAGAACTTCTGGTCTGCTGATCAGTCCTGTTCCTTTTAGCCTATCTAGGTGTTTTGCCACCCGTCTGTGTCTGCATCCACTCTTTACCTATCAGAATAAAACAGGAGCCCGGTATCCTCGGCTTCTTCAGCCTTTCAGACACCAAACCATCCAATTGAGAGCACTCCTAGGTCTGTTCTACCATGCTGCCTTGTTGTTTGGGCTGGTTTCCCAGCGCATGGCAGAGATAAGAGTGCAGATCTTCAGTAGTGTTTTGAGGAGTCCCAAAGGAGCAGTGACAGCAGCTAATTCAGAAGTGGGAGGGATGCAACAAGGCACCTTAAAACAACATACTGCCACTTGTTTCACCTTTCATACAAGGCTGGCCATTTGTTTCCAGTGTGCAAGTTAGCCTTTTTTAAGGCCAGCAAGTCAACCCTGCATAAAGTGTAACCAAGTTAGTGAAAGCCTGGCACAGCGGGCCCAAAGAACTTGTGCCTTTCCCTTTTGCCTTAGTTTAGTTCTGGTTTTAGACATCCATGGCTGTGTTTGTATCTTCACAGCGGCCCTTCAGATACCATGCAACCTATATACACCTTAGTCTTTCAAGGTGTTGAGCACTAGCCTCATTCAAGCAAAGCTTTTATGCATGTGTCTAACTCTCAGAATTTGGGTGGTCATTGGGGCTTGCTTATGCACTTAACATGGAACATGTTTAGGAGCAATCTTGGGTTAGGGCCAGATATTATGCCTCTGAGGCTGAAACTTCACTGTGCATATCGTGGTATCATCTGTGATGCCAGCTGGGAGCACATTTAGGCTTTCACACCATGGTCCAAGTCCTCAGCTGGTGTAATCCAGCATGACTCTGTTGAGGATTTGACAGGGTTGGGGCTCTATTCTGCTATGGAAATTCAGAGGGCATAGTTTTACTGCCAAGGTAACTCCAGTAAGAGCTAGGAGTGAGTGTGTGCTGCAGTAGCCTAGTTACTGTGTCTATCCCAACACTGCACTAGGAGTCTGCTGACCTGTCCTGTGCCTCTTAATGCTTCAGTAGGCTGCTCCCCACTGTGATTTTCCACAGTAAATTGTGGGATAACTTGTCTGTTATCCTGAGCCTACTGGGTTATCAGGGGGAGGGCATTAGAGGAGTATTAGCTTCGGAGGGGCTTAGCACAGGTCCTCACTATAACATAGGTGGGTTATCAACCCAAGTGGAAGCAACCCTTGTGTTTAGAAACGGCCTGGGCTGAAAGCACCACTAAACTGGAATCAAATGGTGTTGTGTGAGAGTTAATTCTGTTGTGAAGACGTAGCCATAGCGAGAGGCAGTCCCTGCCCTGTGAGCCATGCAGTGTAGCTCAGGGGCAGGCAGTTATTTCGGGCGGAGGGCCACTTAGCCAGTTTTGGCAGGCTGTTGAGGGCTGCATGGGTAGCCCCGCCCCTTGACAGGTGCCCTGCCCCCTGGTCACCATCTTGGGACCAGTGTCCCAATGTCTTTGGTCCCAAGACATTGGGACATTTGTCCCATGTCCCAGGGCCAGCACTGGTGGGGCCCAAAGTGGGGCACAGGCTGGCAGGGGTCTGTGGAGCCAGGCTGGGCTGCACCAGCAGGGAGAGGGGGGAGCTGACCCAGCTCGATAGAGCCCCTGCCGGCTGGAACCCTGCGCTCCTGCCACCCTGCTCTGGGCCCTGCTAGCACTGGCCCTGGGACACCAGTGCAGGCACCATGCTCCCGCTGGCTCCCGCCCACTCACTCCCAGTGCCCCCCAGCCCCGCGGTACAGGTGGGGGCACCACACAGCCCTGACCCCCTGCTCGCTAGCAGGGAAGAAGCTGATGCTGAGCGTGGGGAAAAGTGGTCCCTTGCCTGCCGCATGGCTGGCGCTCCCTGCTGCAGGCACTCTCAACCCATACGGGGCTGTCCTGAGCAGGCACAGGCAGCCCCACACAGGCTGCAAGCGGCTGCAGCATGGGGCACCGGCCACAGGGCGAGTGAGGGGCCGCTTTTCCCTGTGCTCAGCACCAGCTTGTAACCTGGCCCCGCTGTCAGCTTGGGCTCTGCGCCAGTTTTGGGCTCACCCCTTGAGGCTGCACATGGCAACAGCAGCTGTGGTCCCCCCACGTACCGTGTCAGGCAGTGTTGGCTGCTGCTGCCCACCTGGAGCTCACATGCCGGGCAGCCCAGAGGCGGCGGTGGCAAACACGGGGTGCCGGCCACAGGGCGGGCGAGGGGCCACTTTCTCAGCCCCGCTATACTCAGCTTTTCCCCGGGCCACTTTTGCCTAGGCTCCTTCCTTGCCTGAAGTTCAGGTGCGGGGCAGCTGCATGGTCCCAGACCAGAAGCCCCAAGTGGGGCTTCCGGCGGTGGGGGTGGGGCCAGGACCAGGTGGCTCTGCTGTTGTGAGAGCCTGCCGGCGCTTCCCCTGGGTCCTACTGCCTTTGGTTCCTCTCGTTTATGACAGGAACCGAGGGCAGAGAAATATTAATTTTCTAAATTTTTTAGGGGCCCCGTGGGCCAGATAGAATGGCCTCGTGGGCCGGATGCAGCCTGCGGGCCATATTTTGCCCAACTGGTCTAGCTAGTCTAGACTAGCAGAGTGAGAGAGGAAATATTACCCCCATACTACATATGGAGGAACTGAGCCCCAGGGACCAAGGACATGTGTGCACCACCTCTGTGTGGTATGGGGGAGCTCCACCACGTAGTGTGTCATACCCTCCAACCCCAGCTCCTCACATGCCACCTCCTGGAGGGAGGCAGCCTAATCATACAGAGTGGCCATGTGTGCACACAGCTGCTCTGCCTCTGGCATACTTATTGGTACATGTTCAGCACTATTATAGGGCAGCTGGGCTGAGTTGCTTTCAGGAGCTGACATGTGCAGAATAGAATACAGGGTGTGGGCTTTGCCTTGTGGCAGTGCAGCGCAAAAAAACCTGTAGATGAGCCCTGAGTGACTTGCCCAGGGACATCTGAATCTCCTGAGTCTAAATCCTATGCTTGAGCCACAGGACTAGCTTCCCCTTTAGGAGCTTGGAATGTTGTAGGTACATGGCTTGTGTCCTGAGGTTCACTAGTTTCTCTCCAGTGTAACTTTCCACTCTGCTTCCTGCCTCAATTGCCACAGCCTGTGTAGAGAATTCCTCTGCCACTGTTGCTTAATGCTCTGAAGCATCTGTCTTCAAACAGGAACTTTCTTGGGGGAGGACAGTTTGCAGAGCTTAAATCTGCCTTCCAGCAGCTACCCATGGGCAACTATCATCCAACAAAATAACTCGGGTTCCCCCATATAAGAGTCTGTGTGCCAGCTTCTCTGAGCATGCTACACATCAACACTTCCCATCCTATACAAGATATCCAAGACCTGTTCATTCTCAGAGCTGATTCCATTTTCTTTTAACTGTGTGTGATGGATTTGTGTTTCATTGTCCAGGTACTGGTGATGTGTCTGAGGTTGGCCTGGGGAAGGGGCGCTATTACACTGTCAATGTGCCCATTCAAGATGGCATTCAGGATGAGAAGTATTACCAGATCTGTGAAACGTGAGACTTTTTTCTATCTAATATGTTTTGTTTGACCATAGTATTACAGGGAAGGGAACCTGTAAAATTCATTTTATGATTTTATGTTGGTCTCTTCCCCTCCATATTAGCAATTTAATGAGACACAGATAATTTACATGCTGAAATCTCTTCTTGTAGGATTGCAATACAAATAATATATGCTGAAACACTGAGCAAGAATTGGCATCTGTCTGGGGAACAATCATTAAGGGCTTTTAAAATAAATGCTCTGGAATCACCATTTAGAGAGAGGCGTGTTTGGGGATGAGTTGAGATGATTTCAAAACATGTAAGCTGAATTGCATGTGAACTTATTTTATCTTCCTCGGAAGGGTGAGGGACTAAGCACTCCTTGCTGGAAGTGGCACTGCACTGTTGGTTTCAGTGAGGCTGATACCTCACTAGAGAGGTACTTGGGACAAATCACAAGTTGTTATCCCTTTTTAAAATGAAATCTGGGGCCAGTTCTTTTCTAACTTCAACATGTTGCAGTTGGCTGTGAGGTGAGTGGTCATGGAAGCCAGCGGTTAAAACCACTTGCACAGTCACTGCCCATAACATGCTTTGAGCTTGCAAGCTTCCTCTCCCAATTCTGTCAGGCTACCTCAATGCTAACTGTACGGTAACCCACTTCCCCACCGCTGTATTTCCAGGCTTTTATCACTTTTGAGCATACACTTACAAAAAGTGAAGTGGCTTTAAAATTTTTCAGTAAATAGCTAAGTGTGTGAATGAAACCATCAATGCATTTCCAGGAGTAACTCAAGTCAGGGTTTTAAATCCAAATTAAAAACTGTATGCAGTCTGAATTCTGTGAAGCTGGAGTGACCTCTCCATGGCACAAAAGTCTGGGCAGTGTATATGGAGACGCATTGGGTTGCCTGCATAACCAGTGTCCCCCCTCTCGGCCTTACTGATTTAGTCCAAAGGAAAGACAGGCGCCAGTGTGTTTGAAACCAACTTGGCTGCAGGAGCTGCTGGAGCAAAGGAGATCATCTGTTTGTCCATCTATCAGGGTTCCACGCCTAGCTTGGCTGCTGACCAGAGTTAAAGAGCCCAGTGTACCCTATCCAGGTCTACAACCTTTTGGTGGCATTTCTTTCGCCAGGGGTAAGACTAGTACCTCCCTGTAAGGTGCTCTTGTGTCCAAAGCCATTGGCACCCTAAAGATTGCCAGGTTATTTAACCACCACCCAGCATTCAGCATTAACAATTGCAAGTAGTACCAACTACTGCAGGGGTAGGCAGCCTCCTGCACAGGTGCCAGTGTGGCACACAGAGTCATTTTGCTTGGCAGACAGTAGGGAAGGGGCTGGGTCTGCACTTCCACAACAAGGATGGGACTCCTCGTGGCTCCCCTGCTGTCTGCCCCTGGCATGCCAACATCTTGCAAATCAAGGTTGTGGGTGTTTTTGGCACTCTGCCCAAAAAAGTTTGCTGATCCCTGGTCTTTTGTAAATTACAGTAGCAGGTAAATTGGACCTGACAATTATATGTGCATGTATAAAATAAAATGCTTTTAAAATATACTGGTACAAAACTGATGCTGAAGTCTTACATACTAGGAGAAATTCTGCATTGAGCCATAGACCATTACGTACTAATTCTGCAGGGTCAGCTATCTGACCTTAGAGCAAGGATTGTAGACTCACAGGACACCTATACATGAGTGCCAAGGCTGCTCCAACATGCTGAAATTCCAGCACATCGGAGCAGACTTGATTAATTGAGTTTGCTGGAGCATGGCAATTGCCATGCTCCAGCAGCTTCCTGCATCTTGTGTATCAGTGTCCCTGTGCTTAAAAATGATGGTGGGGGGGGGTGTACTAAAAGACATTTAATTAGGTTTTGCACCCCCAATGCCATTTCTAAGCGTGTTGACGCTCATGCACAAGACACAGCCATGCTTTAATTGGAGTGGCTCTTGGAACTGCTGTAATTAAAGCACCACTCCCCTCCACCCTCAGAGCATATGTTAAAGTGTCCTCATTGTCTTAACCACTTGCAAAGTGGTTGTAGTATTTGATTGTGACCTGTGACAGTGAAATCTATAAGCAGGCTACACCCTGGGCAAAGAATTTCCTCTTATTCTCTTCACCCAAAATCCCTGCTGGTAAGAGACGACCTGCTCATTGGTACTCCTTTCCTTTTTGGCAAACAGCTAGGCTACAAGCTCCACTTTTGCATTTCTCACCATTGGGAATTAGTAAAATGTTATTCAAAACCATTCCACCTCCCTCTGTCTTGGCAGCAACTGCCTTCCTCATCTCTATGGAGACTGACCCATGGCAGCACAATGATAAAAATAAATAAAAAAGAAGCTTGCTATTGGAGTCTGAAAGCATGTGCACTTTGAACTTGCCTCTCCATAAATAAGAGTGCTTGTGTTTGAACACTTTTGTTCTAGCTGATAAACTTCTAGCTTGTTTCTGGGTGGTATGGCATATATATAATTACCTATTGTTTCTGGAAATGGAATGACTCAGTCTCCAATTAAATTCCATTGTTAATAATAGCTTTGGTGTAGAACTGAGACCAAAGTGTGGCATTTATTTTGTTTGAAAATCTGACATGTCTTTGAAATATTAAAGACAAAGGGAGGAAATGTTTGAGAACAGCAATAAGATTGACAGCTGGCAGGTTGGCTGTTCAGCTGTAGTTGCATGCATCAGTTAGATGTATCCAAGACCTGTTTCTACACACGGTGCTCCAGTAACTGTGGACTTCAGTACTTAAACAGCCTGTCCATCAAAAGAAAAATCTGGGAGTGAGTATCATGAAAACTTGTGCTTGCTGTCACTCACTCACTTGCTCACTCTAGAATCTTATTTAGTTAGTATATAAAGGACCTTTTTGACTGACTTCAGACTAACACAGCCAACTATCTTTCTGTAAACGTGAGTATCTTGAATAACTCATTTGTTCCATATCCATCCAAAGTGCCTGAATTAAGAAGTCGGATATCTTTGGATAAAATGTATGCACCTTCCCATGTAATTTAAATATAAACCTTCTGGAGAGAAAAATGCAGTATGTGAGAAACTTTACTAGTATAAAACATTACATAAAAAGCCATGCTACAAATAATCTAGAGATTTCTGAGGTCATTTTCTATGCTCAGGGCTAGGAAGAAATATTTTATAGCATGTTGATTCAAATAGTTTCTCTCTGGAGCCCTCACCTCTAGGTATGGGGCATGTATGATGTAAGCCTAAACACACAGATTCCATGTCTGTGGAGGCTCTGAACGGATGTAACAATTGAAGTACTTCAGACAGTGAGTGAGTGGAAGTTTGTGACTAAAGAAGCACTTCCAAAATGGCTGCAGCACTTAAAAAATGATCCTCAAAAAAATGAGGAGTCCCTTTAAGGTGCTTCCTTTTAGTGCTTCTTGAAACATCCATATGCTCCACAGAGTATGACCAGAACAGGGGTTACTCAGTCCTCCGGCATCCTGCAGTGCTCCACTGGAGGAGGCAGCGAGGGGAGGGAATGGGGCACTCCACAAATCTGTGCTCCCTGGTTGGAGAGTGCTCCGTGGGGGGGGAGCCACTGGCAGCTCCCATCTGCACAGCACTGAAGTGCTCCAAATTGGAGCAGAATTTGGAGTGCTTCAAATGCTCATCTGTCCATGGCCACAAATATCTGATTTGATAAGTGTAAAGCTCTGTGATGATGTGCACTTTTTTGCTCCTATGACTACCACCCACTGTCTCCCCACTAGTATGTTCTTACCCAGAGCTGCTGAACTATTTGCAGATGAGGTAGAAGTCTACCAGGGAGAGGGGGCATCTGGAAACACTCAGAATGCAGATAGAGTTTGGGAGATGAATGCCCTTGGTCCTAACTTGACCAATTCCACATGCCAAACTGTTGCCACCGGAATCGGCAGCCTTCTGTATCCCAACTGTTGTTTATGTAGACTGAGTAACCAGTAGTTCTTGACCAGTGCCATGAGACTTTTTCAGGGGTACTGAAGCATAGGTGCCACCATGACCACTGCCACCAGGTGAAACTGCCTCACGCTTCTTGTGGAGCTTGATTAGGAAAGGTTGCACCAGCTCCTACTGCAACCCTCAGTAGAGCAACCAGGGCAGGATGGGAGGCACCAACCCCAGGTGCCAGTTTGGAGGGCGTGGCAAAATGGCAGTCAGTCAGGGTGCATAGCCTCAGCAAGGCAGAGTGCAGGGAGCCAGCCTCGGCAATGGCAGCAGGGATTGTCAGATGAGACCCTCCTGTGTTTATCACCACTCCCTGCTCTCCCCCTGCCCACCTCTTCCTACTCTCAGGTGCTTGGCACAACAGCCTCATTCTCCCCACCTGCTCCATCTCTGCTCAGTGTGCAAAAATCCTGTGGTAGCCCTTTCTCATCTGGCTCTGCACCAAGGGTGTGAGGCAGTTTCACCTGGCCACGCCAAAGGCAACATCCTGCTTAAGAAGCACTGAGGTAAGCTGAAGTAAACTGAAGTTTCTTAATTGGGGTGCTACCAAATTTTCAACTCCAGTGGTTCTCAGCTGGGGTGCCCTGAATCTAAACAGACTGAGAACCACTGGACTCAACAGTAAGATCAGTGGTCATTCACAGGCCAAAAAACTCTGATCAGTTTTCAAGATCTGTGTTTTCAGTGAGGTAATGCTGGAGGCAGGCAGGAGTGACAAGAATTGCTACTGGAAAGAGAAGCCACAGCAGTAATAGGTGTGGGCAGATGAACAGGTATACCACTTTAAGGTGGCAGAGAACTTATTGCATGCGAGTGTCTGCCAAGCTGATATGCTGTAACTTTTATCTGTCCAATCTTTCCCACAGTAAGTGCAGTTAAACCACAGTGACTTACACTGAATGAAATGGGTGACAAACTATTGCAACTTACTTCCACTTACTGTGGGATAGAATGGAGAGGCAACATAGTTACCACTGATTCAGTTGAACTAGAGCGGTGGTCACCTACCAGTGGATTTCAATCTACCGGTAGATCTTG